TTGGTGAAAATGGAAGTCAGCTTTTATTTAGAAATGCTAGTGACTTGAGGAGAGATGTTGGGCTAACCCATCTCTCTGGTAAACCTGAAGGAGAAGGGCCAGATAAAGGCATCTCCAAGACTCAGATTTGCTGAGGGGTTTTTAAAGGGGCTGAGGGAATGGAATGTGGGAAATGGGAAGCAGGAGGGAGGGGGATGTGAGCTGTGGGGGCTCCATGCAAGGAGCCTAGTGCAAGGTCTCACCAAGACTCATATGGTTTCTGCTCCCATCCTTGCTGTTATCTCAGGGTCCTGCTGGAGATGTGGAATCCCAATAGATTTACTGATGTTTTCCTTGGCTTCCCAGGGTCTGGATAGTATGTGCAAGTCTGCAGCTCCAGGCTGACTGGAAAACACCTTTACATTCAAGTAAATACTGTCATCTTGACTCATAACCAAGGCTCAAAATATCAAATGACCGTAGGAAAAGAGGGAACTCAGAGAAATGCATGCTGTATTATTAGTCCATTTCAGTTGCTTATAACAAAGTACTCAAAACTGGGTGACTTATACAGGAAACAAAATTTGTTGCTTACAGTTTCTGAGTCTGGGCAGTCTAAAGTCCATCTGGTGGTGTCGACAGTGACCCAGGGGGTCCCACATTGCAAGATGGTGGAAGCAGAGAGAGCAGAGAGAGAAAGACTCTCCTCTATCTTCTTTTAAAGCCCTCAGAACCATGCCCCAACTACCATTTTTAATCCATTCACTACTGCATGGTCCTACAATCCAATCACCTCTTCAAGGCTCCACCCTTCAATCACCATAATAGGATTTCCCACCCTCTTAACAGTCACAGTGGGGCTAAGTTTCTAATACATAAAAACTGGGGGACACAATTCAAGCTTCAGTGAGTTTTGGAGGGGCATAATTCAATCCATTACACATACCAAGAAAAAGCTGTGTCCTTTTAAAATCTTTTAGAGCCCGTACGATTTTAGGTCCCAACAGGGCTTCAGGCCCACTGACTCCAACAGAATTACTAAGCTCTTTCTTCAGTCACTTATGTACATAATTTTTAAAATGTTTCCTTAGGGAAGGAGGAGAAGGAAAGGGAAGGGGGTGGGGGAGAGATTTAATAGGGGCTTAGTTGATCTTCTCACATCAAAAACCATCCTGTTGAGATAAGAATATATACTCCTTTTTTAAAATCAGAATATCTTCAATTAAACTTGTTAGACCATTTCAACATTATGTAAGTTCTATAAACAAAAGCATTTCATTCCAGTATTTAGAAACTTGAAAACACCATAGAAAAAAAAGCAAAGCCTTCCTTTTTAATCTTTTATTAAGGCAGCTGTCTCAGATGAGTTTAGAGAAAAATCTCGGTGACAGGTGGTGAAGACCCTCCTAAACCTGGCTACAAGGATGAAGTGGGTGAAAGAGACAATCAAAGGAAGAGTGAGCTTCCATACCTGGGGTTTAAAAATAGAAGAGTATGAATGTAAGGAAAATGTGATCCAGGTGGTTAAGTATTCTAAGAAACCTCAATCAGCACTCACTTGTGGAGCAGATTTTCAGAGTCCATAAATCACTCATTTCAGTGATCTATTCTTGAGGTAAACAGGTAGCCAAGTGCCCTTAAGCTATGGAGAAAATTGGCATAGATAAGCATGACTACTGTAGTGGTCAAAGCAGGGACAGGTAGGGCCTGCCAGCCTTTAAAGTAACATAAAATCTGTAAACTCAAACTTGCAGACTTTTAAGTACCATGAAAGCAAGTGTTCTCAAACTTTATGTGTCAAGGATGTTGTTAAAATACATTGACTCAGTCGAAGGTATACCTGTTCCCCAATGTTCATCGCAGCACTCTTTACAATAGCCAAGAGTTGGAACCAGCCCAAATGTCCATCTTCAGATGTGTGGATACAGAAAATGTGGTATATCTACACAATGGAATACTACTCTGCTATAAAAAAGAATGAAATACTGCCATTTGCAATGACATGGATGGACCTAGAGAGAATTACATTAAGTGAAAACAAGTCAGGTGCAGAAAGAGAAATATCACATGTTCTCACTTATCTGTGGGAGCTAAGAATAAATAAATACACAAAAAAGGGGGGTCTGGGGAGGGGCTCACAATTTGAGTAGCAAAGCATAAAATTGTACTAGTTTAATGTAATATAAAATTAAATATGTATTATTATTTTCTTCAAGATATCGTTCAAGCTAAGACAATTATATTCATGACCATCCCATTTTTTAATTCCATATATATTTCCCAATGCTATTGCAGTTAATTCCTTAAATATTAAATTGCTGAAGAGAGGGATATTCAAATTGTATTTTATGAAACAGGTCTCTATGAAGATTTTTATCAATTAATGATTTATATTACTTTGTTGAGCATTACTGTATGCTGGATACAATGTTTTATGATATGGGAATGTTTAATGAATGAAAGGGAATCCTCTACAGCACCTAACTACATATAATAAACCATTTAATTCTCTGATGTCACAGTGAAGCTAAATAAAGAAAATGCTTTGTGTCTGAAGCCAAACAGTCCTCTTCTCTCCCATTTCTTTTTGATTCCAGTAAAAACCTTTTTATTTGATTAGAAGGCACTAACAGGACAAATTCACTGCTATCTGAAAAGGTTTAGTCGCCACCTCGTGGATAATAAAATGGCAACATGCAAAAATAATCTACCATTTTCTGTACAAACTAATGATTTAAAACCTCCAGCATGTTTAATTTTCAAACCATACCAAGAAATCATTTTTTAAACCCTCAAACACTACGGCCACAATTTGGTAGACTCTAAAGAATGCAACTCATTGTCAGAAGTGAGTTTAGAAAGAGGAGAAAAGAGTCTTTCAGAATGTATGCTGCAGGAGCAGCTCAAATCTGTTGTCCCCTAACCAGGTTACTTCCTTGAAACAGACAGTACTCATTTTTGGATATGTAAATTATGGTGCAAATTCATTGTATCACACGTTACTTTAATTTTATGCTTACTGAATTTGCATCCTGCTCCCCTAACTACTCCTTAATACCTTTTTGGGGGATAATAAAGGGAAAAGGGACTCAAGAAATTTACAGCAATGCTTCTCAGAAATGTGTTGCTTAAATGAGGTTTCATTATTGTGCAAACATCATAGAGCATACTTAAACCAAGGTAGTACAGCCTACTATGAACCTAGGCTACATGGTATAGCCATTATAATCTATGAGATCACCTTTGCATATGTGGTTAGTTCTAGACTGAAAGGATATCGTATGGCACGTGGCTGTGTGTAGTGATGTTAATCTGTGCTTTGGTCAGGTATGTCACTTAATCTTAAGACAGGAATTGGAACAACATTTCATCCTGAGCAATTCTTTGAAATAACAAGGGAGAAAATAAAGACAAGCTTTGAAAGAGAAGTGCATAAAAAGGAAAACAAAACCATACCAGAAAAATCCAGACGATATTTTCCTGTTTTAATTGATCTCAAGAAAAGAGAAATCCAAGTTCATAGAAACTTACATGAATTCTGCTTTATTGCCTACAAAAGCAAGCATACAATTGTTATAACAGCAAATAACAAACATGCTGAACATTTTCAGGCCATTTTGAATGGTGCTCTCTACCTGTATGTGAATAAATAATAAATACTGCTTCTCTGTTACCTTGAAATACAGTACCAAGAGTTTTACATTTTTATGTATCTACTCAAGTAAATGAACATAAAGGAAAGAATAGACAATACTTATATCACTTAAGGTTAAAATTCTTGTCTTTTTGGAAAATAACCTAATAGGCCCAAGAACCACTATGAACCACCTTCCTTTTAGCTCTTAGCTATCATAAGACCATCAATATCCTCTCCCCCATTTTTTTTTTCATAGGCCACCAGTTCTAGCACATTCAAATTAGTTACAAACCTTCAGCCCGTTTAGTCATTAAATATTTGGGAAACAGTCTAAATCTTTATTAATCACAGCAAATACTGACATAGTTTCATAGTTCATTTTTGAACATTTTTACAACTTTTTTTCACTGATTCTAAGCCTGAAATACATTTTCTTATATTCTTTTTGGTCCTTTTTAAAAAAAAAATTTTTTAACCTTGGAATGTTTTAATTGGCTTAAATGCAAGGTGAATGTAAACAACTCCCCAGAAATGAGAGGCACTTCTTGGAAATACACTGACTTGTGACACTAGACTAATGGGATACTCAAATGTTTTGACTTGAACTGAATGAGTTCATGATTCAACTTTCCAATGTCTGCTTGAAAATAGCAAGATTCTTATCTGCAGCATTTAGTGTATTAAGATATGTGAGATATGTATATCAGAAATCATACAATTAAAATTGTGCTTATGTTAATTCTGTAATAAACCTAATTTAAAAAAACTTAATGCTATTCATTAGGAGCTCTGATATAATCACAATAATATTGGTTAAAATGAACCACCAACCTGAGGCAAAAAAGTAAACAAGCAAAGTCACTTTTTCAGCCTTTTTAAACTGTCTGAACACACGATGTTATGACTATTCCCCAAATTAAGCAACCAACTTCAATTAAAAGAGCTGGGAACAAATGTATAAGGCATTACCTCCAAATTTCTTAATCATGCTGGTCCTCAGCACAGACATACACAAGGCAGGGAAAGGTAAACCACTTCACCCTCACCAGTCAAGGCCTTTAAGAGTACTCATGTGGATATATTACAAGGAAAGCGGCAACTCAGCATAAACCCTTTTGTATTGATATAAGGAGTATATATACACATATACATGTATATGATATCATGCTTATGAATATTTATCAACCATGAAACTTCATAAAGAGCTGCACAAAAGTCTAGCAGTGAAAGAATCGTGAGGTATCAGCCATGGAAAATAGACTAATCTGTGCTCACAAGGAAAAGGGCAAAAGGGACACAGGGATTACCACTCAGGAACCACAGAAAGGACAATTAGGAGTGGAGCTAAGTTCTGCAAATACAACACATATACTGAGTACAAACGTTGTATTTGAGGACTAGGGAAGTAACGCCTGCTGTACGTAAAGATTTCGTTCATGTAAAAAGGTGGAAGTAAGATCTTATTGTAAGAGCATGCTTTCTCCAGTGTGGTGGTGTGAGAGAGAAAGAATATAAGAGGGAAGATGTAAAAATCCGAAAATAAAGCCCTGAAAGAAACAAGGCTACCATAAAAAATTTCCACATTGTTTAGAGTGATTAAATAACATTCAGCCTTTGCACATTATTTTAATTATAATGCATCTTATCCTCATGCTGTTTCTGAAGACATATACTGCTATGTGAAAAGTATGCAAGCTATTATATATTTTCTAATGAAAAATGCCATGTTTTTCATTTTGCTCCAAAGGTGAAAAAAATAAAAGCATGCCAAAAACAAATACAATAATTGTTTAAAGGGATAAAATCAACTACAGGCATTAAAACACAATAAATATCAACAAGTAGTCACTCAAAGTTTGTAAAGATATTCGCATATATCCACAGAAAGTTCACAGCACAACTTTAGGAGCAAGGAGATGTTATTTACTGGCAGTTAAGTAAGAAGTCTTTAAGAGAGCCAGGAAGCCATCATGCCAGATAAGGATGTTCAGAACACAATCAGCAACTTTATTCCTATTCCACTCCCCGCCCCCCCACCCCCACATCTTGAAAGGTGTTCTCTCCCACCCTTGCCACCCCACACTCCAAGCAAGATCATAAAATCCTGCTGTTGCAAACTAAAATGGACCATTATTTTTAACTAAGGATAACAGGATCTGAGTCCCAATTCATTAACTTAATTTCACATGCAAAGTGATTCCATGTGTTTTTATCCTATTACAGGCCCTTCATTTACAAATTATAAAAGGTGATTTTCCTGTGGCACCTCCTTGGAGAAGAACATTACATGCCAGAAATTCTAGAGTGTCAAATATTTCATTCCCATGTCCACCAAGCAGCAATCATCACACTTAAACTCACTGACTTTCCAAATGGGAAAGTCTGCAAATTATTTTAACCTCAGTTTAGAAAACTCAAAAACAGACTTCATCACCACCATCTCTAAATTTAAAATGCCCTCTTTTTAAAACTCATGTCAGAAAAAAATGTACTAAAGTACTAGATTCCATTGTCTTTAAAAAGCAAGCAGCTTGGTGATGTGACAGTTCAAAATAGAAACTCAAGTACTCCCTAACTTGAGGAAGAAGTGAAGCTTCTCCAAGGGGTAAAACGAACAGAAATTTTGCTTGTGTAGTTTATGTATAAGCAAGAGAGGCAGTGGCAAGAAGGGCCTTGTTTCAAATGTTTAGATTTCTACACCATTTAACACAGCATTCACTATTTTGCATACTTGTGCAAGTATCAGTGAGAGCTAAACATCGTTACCTGTTTTAGAAAGGCTGGCTACTATTTCAGAAGTTTTGTTCACTCTTCCCTTGTAGAGATGTCATTGATTTCTTTATATGGCACATACCTTGCTTACTTTTTATCTAAAGGGCTCTCATTTGCTTCAGACTGTCAATACAAAGAAAGGCTTATTGAAAGACACCTCTCTTTGAAAATAATCCAACGGGGGTGGGGGTGACGGGGATTAAAGGAGCAGTCAACTACTTAAATGTCAGTAATCATAACATTTCTTAAAATTCACAGTACTGTAAAATTTCTGAAACAGCACTAATATTTAGATATCTGCGGGTCTTTACAATTCATCGTATCAGATACTATTTCAATTTATATGTGCTGTGCATTGCACCATTCGTTTTGAGTTTTTTCTCACTGGATATAGTGGCACGACCACAGTTATTCGCAATTCCCTTTTTCTTAAGATTTGCATGTGCTTGTGTTTTGGAGGCCTTACAGGAGGCTGCTGAGTCCAGGATCATCACTGACTGTTTGGGAATCCGAATGTTACCATTGGTTTCCATCTTAGGACAGCTGTCACTGCAGGACAAATCCCAACGCTGCACCTTGGTACTCTTACTTGATTTCTTTTTCTTCTCTTCTGTCCTCATTTCAAGGGTTTGCTTCTGAGAGCATAACCTGTTACTACCCAGCACATCAATGGGTTTGGGGGACGTCTCAAATGTGTAATATGATGGACGGACTTCTTCATGGTAGAAATCTTTCTTTCGTGAAGTGCCTGACTTTGAAGCCCCTTCCTGGTGAGGCAGAGGCTTGGACAGAGCACTGGAGATTAGCTTACTTCTCCCGGGGCTTTTCAGAGTCCCTGAGGTTCCAGGGGCAGTGGCAGGCCTTGCTTTGGCCCCCTTTCCTTTTTCACCCTGCACAGTCTGGATCTGCAGCCACTCGAGCTGAACAAGTCTATCGATATACTTCCCAAGAAGTCCTCCTGCTCGTGGCATGGCTTCAGTTTTATACTCTGTGTTCAGAAGCATTGCCATTTCCCGTAGGTCCCAGGAGCTAAAAGGGGGTGGGAGGAAATCAGGATAACAGTATTCAGGCTTTGTATGGCCCTGACCTGGGTGAAGATCGAAGCAAATTGGATCAATTTCTTCAGCTCGAAGATTAAGATCTGGGGGTGTGAGGGGAGAAGGAGGGATGGGAATTCTTTCAGAATCAGATATGTCACTTGCACTGTCCTCATCAGCATTTTCTTTAATAATTTTCACTGACTGAAAGTCAAAAAATGATTTGTTTCCTGAGGCCCCCTGACATCTGGAACCAAGTGGATTCCTTTTGGGTTTTCTTTCCTGGGAACTGCTTTCTTTAAGTTTATCTTCAGTGGGTTGGGAGACACCTACAAGGCTGCTTCTCAGCTGGGAAGAAACATGGGGTACTTGGGATTTACTCTGCCTTTTTCCTGAAGAATCCTTTGAATGTTGCACCTTATTCCAAGATGATCTAGCATTCATATGGCTGTGAAAAATAAAACTGCAATTCTTACTACATATGACAAAAAAAATGTCTGGCTATGGTTAAAGAAAAATAATCCTTTAGTTGTACATTTCAGCTATTACTAGGCATTAGAAAAATTAAGGCCTCCAAACTCCTCACAAAAGAAGTAGTTTAATAAAACATTTTTCAACACAATACTCTATTTAAGAAACATATAACACATGCCAAAAATGAATGCATGGATTCTATTTTATATCAATTAGCAGCATTTAAGAAAAATATTAACATTTCTCAAAGTGCTTGCTTTAAAATTTTAGACCAATTGTGTGTACTTCTAAAAACATTAGTTTGGAAAAAATCTGTCCTAGAACTCTTGATCTGTTCTGTTAATGATCAACAGTGCTTAATAACATTCAGAAGTAAAATACACAGATTTCTTTTACATACCTATTTTAAATTAAATATAAATATGATTTAAAATGCAAGTTTTATGGGTTGAATCACTGATTAGTGGTGATGCTGAGCTGACTAAATCTTATTATGCAAAATTATAGCATATACAAACCATACCTTAAACCAAGAGCCTATAAAATGTTTTCAAACAGGAAACACATTTAGGAAAATTAGGTTTAAAAGGATAGAAGTAAAATTATATGGTGATTTATAATACAATATGAATGAAAAAATAGGGTTAATGCTATCTTGTCAATGGCAGGCGAAGAAAGATAATGAATACTGTGAGCATCACTAGTATACCAACTGATTCTTTTTGGGGTAATTCATTCTAAGGCAGAATCTTGTATCATAGTTGAAAATACCTTCTTTTCAGTCAATTTACCAAGAACATAGCATTTGGTAAAAATTAATAGTATGTTTTTGTAATATAAGTCAGATGGAAAGAACAGAAATGGGTGGTAAACACGCTTTCTGGAAATCTTATAAGTTCATTTGTCCAGTAGTTTCAACCATACTAAGTAATTATTTGAAAATGTTTTACCTCTTAATTAATAAATATGGAGGATGTTAAATTACAGCCAGTAGCACAGCATGTGCTCAACAAATGTGGAACAAATAAATGAAGAAATAAAGGAATGGCCATTATTCAGATTTCACAAGTAACACTGTTAAAACTAGCTGTCAGTGTGCATATATAAAAGCGAATTATTATCAGTATCCTTTCTATATTAAAGAAAACTAACATAGAAAAGCAATTAAAGGACTTCCCCAAAATTGTGGCTTCTGCTAATACTACCAGAATTATGACTTCTGGAATCTTTATCTACTAGAAATGCTTAAAACTACTTTATCCACTCATTTTTGCTAGATAAAAAAATGTAAATGTATATTTCTTATCCACAGATATATATATATTTTTTCCCCAACCACACATATTCAATCTGGAGAAATGAGATAATGTGCCTTCTGCAAGATAGAGCAATTCTACTAAAACTATTTACCTGCTTTTCTGGTGAGATTCATTCACCCTATTCCTTTTCTTGAAAAAATCACATGGCTGATCATCATCTAGAGTTTGATGGACTGTCTAAAAATAGAAGATGCAATAATAAATACTGTGAAACACATACACACGTGAAACAAAACCCAGAGCAAATCTAAGTAAGAGCTTCCTTCAAAGTTTACATCACCTTTTCCGTATTCTTGCTCAATCTGTTGGAAGATGATGACAGCTGGGGAAGTGACTTCTTTATTCCTCTTATATTTAGAAAGGACTCCTCACCACCAGGACTAGAAGCAACGGGATACGGTCAGTATTGATTGCAAATGGTCCTGCCACCAGTATTGGGTTGGTTTTTCACTTGTTTGTTTTTTAATATTTGCTTAGTATTGAAATACTGGGGCTAAATGGTATAGTGGTTAATACTCTTAAGAAATGAAATATTGGATTTGGGGGATAGTATCTTTATAATTTAATCTTTTTTGCTTATTTATCACAGTGGATATTAGATACATAATCACATTACTAAAAATGCTGTGAATGGGTTCCGTCTCTCTTTCTCTGTCTCCTTATACACACATATAATCTCTTTGGAAATAATATATTCAGGCAATTTGTGAGGATAATCAAGCTCAAGTCTTACTCCAAAGCGCCCATGTCCAATCATTCATTTATTCAACAAATAGTTACAGGAGTACCTAAAAAATGGCACGGATTCTGCACACGTCCCTGTTTTCCTGGAGCTTAAACTCTAGTGGGGAAGTTGTTTCAATTCTTCTGCCTTCCCTACCATATCAGCCCGTTAAAAGATTATCAATATATTAATACATATTATATTGTATAACACTATCTCTTTGTGAAACTTTGTTGACCTGAATCACAGATTGCTATTATTCTCCTCTTATTTTGAGTGGCCTATTAAAAGTGCTCTGACTAGAAATCGAATATTTCTCTTTCCCATAAAATCCTCTGCCTATAATGGAGAAGAGGTGGGATAATTTTTATTTTCTTCCTGAAACTTTCCTGTATTTTTCACAATAATCATGTAAGCCTTTTTAGTCAGTTCACATGTGATGATAATAAAAATGACATATGGCCTCTCACAATTAATGAACTATAACATAATAAACAGGCTTAATTCTTCTTTTTTTTTTAAAAAAAAAGATGATCGGTAAGGGGATCTTAACCCTTGACTTGGTGTTGTCAGCACCACGCTCACCCAGTGAGCAAACCGGCCATCCCTATATAGGGATCCGAACCCGTGGCCTTGGTGTTATCAGCACCGCACTCTCCCAAGCGAGCCACAGGCCGGCTCCTTAATTCATTTTAGATGTAGGAAATGTTCTGCACAACCCCTTCATCAGTCCAGTTTTCTTTCTCCTTTGTCCCTAAGGACAGTGAAAAGGAAACTTTGATGAATGCCTGGCCCCAAACTGCCCTCTAGAAAACGCTCTTGCTTCTCTCTTCCACTTCATCTCACCCGACAAGCTTTACACCAGAGTCTGCCGCGTTTGTGGGCAGAGTTGCTGGGTGAGAGATGAATGCCTGGAGGGTCCTAAGGATGCAGAAAACAAGCTGGTCGTTCCGACAACCGGCTTGCATGGAAACAAAGCTAAAAGTAGGAGATTCTGGCTACAAAAATGCTCCCCAAGCGCTGGAGGCTGATTATGGTCATCGGCATAATTCACCGCAGCATGTTAACTATTCTCCCCATGTCTTCCTCTCTGGCACAGCGCCGAGGCAGGCAGAAGAAGCGCCTCTCGCTCCACCCTCAAGAGAACTGGCTGACCATTCCGGGCGACAAAGCATTGTGGGTGAGGTGTGGACAGGATGCTGTCTACGCAGCAAGGCTCCCTTGCTCTGGCCCAGGGTCCAGGTGGCAGTGAATACGTCCAAACAACTGGCTAGTCTAGACGCTTAAAATTAGCCTGGGAACCAGCACCTGCCAAGGCCAGGTTTTGTCCCTTCTCCCCAGCCCCCCCCGCCATTAACCCCCAAATTCAAGGACCTGCAGCATGCATTTTCCTTGTCCTCCGTGTGTGCAGACACAATCTGTGATCGACAGGGGCACCATCCAGGCAGACGCAGACAGACATTGATCAGACCTGTTTCCCGACCGCAGGGGACACGTGACGAGGCGGCGGGCCCTGCTTCCTCCACCGCCCGCGCCCGCGCGGAGA